CCCCCCCCCCCCCCTCCTCCTCCTCCCCATGGTCCCTCCCGCTCCTCCCATCCAGATGTTTGTGAGCCGGGGAACCGGCCGGAGCAGCCCCGCGTAGCCGGGGGGAGAGGAGGGCAGAGCGGGAACACGCTGCGGGCTCCGGCCGCTTCCCTTTGTCTCTGCGGCGGTGAGATGGAGGAACATCCACCACCCGACCGGCCTGCTCCCCCCCCCCCCCCCGTTTTGGGTCCGAAAACAGAGTCGTTGTTTGACCTTGAGATGTTGACACAATTCGGCCAAGCCTACCTGTGCGCTAGAGTGTGTGTGTGTGTGTGCTCGTACGCGCGCGCGCCTGTGTGTTTAATAATAGAATTGCGATGCAACGCAGCAGCGCAGAGGGGCAGTTTGGCTTCTGATGTCCGCCGTGATCTCTCTGTGTTTTTTGGGGCCTGTGGAGCAGCTTCGAATGTGTGTGTGTGTGTGTTTTGGGTGGGGGGGGGGGCACAGACAAACACTTCCAATCCAGGCCCACCCACTTTTTAATTCGAATCTAACCCATTCCAGATAGGAGCAGGGCATTCCAGCCTTATATAATGGGAATAGCATATTTTATTCATAAAGGCTTGAGAAGGCCCACGCTGAGAGTGATGTTGCTTCCATGGATGCTGGTTGTTAGCCAGAAATGTGTGTTCACTGTGGATTGAAATGAGCAGGCGTTTACAACCAACTACGTGTAATTTTTGTACTTCATTTTGCAGGGAAAAATAGACAGCGATGTGCAAAAGGTGAAAGTTATGTAGCTCCAGAGGCTCTCAAGGTGTCCCGGATGATGTAGGGTGGAGTGAAAATTCTGGGCCAAATGCTGAATTATTCATCAGGAAAAGGTTCATATTGCAAGTGCATTTGATGGGGAATGTGCAGCTTTAATCCGAAAACATCAGTACACGCCTTTGAAATCCCCCAGAGAGCCGTCAAACCTACACACGTCGAACTGTCCCGGTTCTTTCTGATCGGCTGCATGAATCATAAAAGCATCTCCCACCGCAGTAACGTGCACACATGCAGACACTCGCAGAAGCTCCATAATCCAGCCGGGAGTGTTTATCAGAGCAGAACCAGCTGCTGTCAGATGTTGGGAATGACAGAAGCAGCGATGTCCGGACGCTGAGGTGTGTGCGTGAAGGGCTGGCAGGTGTAGGAGGCCCCCCTCACCGACGTGTCGGTGTCTGGGCACATCAGAAGAGGCTCAGAACATGTCTGCTGTTGGTCTGTGTGCTGATACGCTCAGGAACTGTGTATGTGGTCATTATTAAATAAAATGGCAAGGAGCAGATGAAGCCGTTAGACTCCTTTCAAAGACGCTTGGATTGAATTGTATGCTTATAGTGAAGGTTTGCTTCAAAGAGACTGAAAATACTCAGAAATGTTCATTTTGTTTCTGTTAGCCATGTTGGTTGTGGTTAAGGTACCTTTAGAATTGTGTATTTTTTCATTTTTTGAGGATTTATGGGATCAATGGCTAATGGAGCTTTACTATTTAACTACAACAACAAAGCCAGAAATGTTGGGACACATTTATTTTGCATTTTCATGTTTTCAAATGGAAAATGAGAAGCTCTTGAGTCGCTTTATTCCCTTAGAAATAGCAAATTCCTCATGTTTTAAAGGCTTAGATGAAAAAAAAACTCATCTGTTTATTGCTTTGTAAAAACCAACCACTAGGTTGATCCTATTTAAATTCGCTAATCGTCTCACCACTTGTATATTCACTGAACCGAAAGCATGTCAGGCGCTTGTAGAGAAGCAAGACGAGTGTTCTGGAGGATTATGACCTCCAAATAAACTGTGTTTGAAGAAGTCACTGTTTCCTATCCAATCCAAAGGGCTGAAAATTGGCCTGAAACTTCCATGCTTCCATCCACCTGTTTGTTGGTTAAACTCGGCTTGTAAATGAGCTCCGGCAGATCAACTCCTGTTTGGCTCTTTGGCGTCTGAGAGCCGTTAACAGAGTTGCAGATGAGAGAAACTGAGCTGTGGGCGGATGTGTCGGATGTTACACAAAGGGGAACTGTGTGTGTTTTTAATGACAGGAGCTTCAGAGGGTTTCAAGTCTGGCACTGTGGTATCCTGCAGACCTTGAAGCAAC